GATAAGAATCACTGATTAACTGCCCTATGGGGATTGAGACTACTGCAGGCATGTGCCCTTCACCAAAATCAAACCCGGGACCCCTCAGTCGCTGGTCAATGTTCTCACCACTGAGCCAAACCAGCTAGGACCACTGTTGGTATTTTATATTGTTCTTAATATTTGAAAACAGTTTTAGAGTAGTTATGTGTTTTCAGAATGCAGTTACACCACCACCAAGACAGAAAACTCTCCATTAACCCAAAGGAACACAATTATGGTGGCTGTTTATACAGGATTTGTTCGAGATTCCTCTAAACCAGTGGTTCTCAACAATCCTAATGCCACGAGCCTTAATACAGTTCCTCATGTTGTGGTGACCCCCAATTTCATTGTTACAAATTGAACATAAGTAAAGCATAGTGGTTAATCACAAAAACAGTATGTAAGTATATGTGTTTTCCGATAGTTAGGCGACCCCTGTGAAAGGGTCATTTGACCCCCAAAGGGGTCGTGACCCACAGGTTGAGAACTGCCCCTCTAAACCTTGACCTATTCTTTTCTTATTGAAATTTTTTTTGATTTAAGAGAAGAAGGGAAATGCAGATATAGAAACCTCAATGATGACAATCATTGATTAGCTGCCTCCTGCACACCCCTACTAGAAATCAAGTCTGCAACCCAGGTGTGTGTCCTGACCGGAAATTGAACCATGGCCTCCTGGCTTATAGGTTGACACCTAACCATTGAGCAACACCAGCCAGACCAATCCTTTGCCTGTTCCAAAATGTCATGTAGTGGATCACCATGTTGTTTTTCAACCTGGCCGGGAAGCTCGAATGATTAGAGCATCATCCCAATATGCCGATAGTAGGTTAAATCCCAGGTCACACACAAAAATAAACCAATGAATATAAATAAATAGAATGATTGATATTTCTGTCTCTCTCTTTCTCAAATCAATTATATTAAAAAAGAAAAAAGTAAGAGAGCTCTAGCTGGTTTGGATCAGTAGAGAGAGCGTTGACCTGCCGATTAAAGGGTCTCGGGTAAGATTCCAGTTAAGGGCACATGCCCAGGTTGCAGGCTTGATCCCCAATAGGGGGTGGGCAGCACGCAGCCAATCAATGATTCTCTCTCATCATTGATGTTTCTATCTCTCTCACTCTCTCCCTTCCTCTCTGAAATCAATAAAAATATATTTAAAAATAAACTGTAAAAGTAAGTCATACTCTATCACTAAAAACAGCTTCTTTGGAAGAGACCCTGACTTTGTCTTCTTGCTTGGTTTGTATTCCTTGACAATATTCCTAAATTTATGAACTTCAGTTGACCCATACAGGAGATACTTTTCAAGGAGTAAATAATTAAAATATATATATAAACTTTTTGGAAATGCACCCAATACCCTGTAGGAAATATTTCAGTGTTCATATAACAAGAAAGGCAAAAGCTGTTCCAGAGGAGTTGCAGGCCTTGAACTCCCTGCCAGCCCTAGACATACATGGTTGAAAAGAAAAGGTCACACATGTCTATCATCACACAGAGCTACTCCCTGACCACAATGAATCAAGACACACACAAAAAAGGCATTCATGTCTGTATTCCTGATGAAAGAGAACAGGTTTTTAAAGAATATAAAGAATCCAATGCAGAAAAATGTCTGGCTTCCCTGAATAGCAAACAAATGATCTATTACAAGGCAAAATACAATAACAAAGTAAAAACAAACAAACAAAAAAACAGGATTGAAGTTTTTAATATTTTGAACGAATAAGAAAGCAGTCTGTATCAAGTAAATATAAAAAAATATTTTCCCTGAGAAAACATGTCTGAATTTATACACACATGATAACTGTAACTCAGATTGTATGATTAAATGAAAAAGATTAGATGTTGACCCGAAAATACATAATTACATTGGGACATTTAAACATATCTCAGGGAACAATAAAATGCAGTAGCTATCAGCATAAGAGTGATTGGAAAACAGTTCATATTTCTTTAAAATGTACAGAAGCATTGATTACAGGGGGAAAATGCACATAATCTTAATTACATACAACCCAAGATAACTGAAAACATTGAGAGATTAGGCTCAGCTCTGAGTGACAGCACCATGAAGAGTCTGTCTGAAATGAAGAAAGTGCCAATTCTCACATGGAAGGACTGGCTCAGAACCCTCACTGCAGAGGGTGGTACAAGAAAAAACTGTCACGGGGCTCCGTGGCACTGCACCATGGCAGCTGTCACAGTGGGATCTGAATCACAGTCAGTAGCAGAACCAAGACAAGATGATGATTACTAGTCAAATTAGACCTCATGCAAATGCAAGCTAGAGAACAGTGCGCACCCTTCAGAAAACAGCCTCAACCATGACAGTCTACATTTGCTGTCTGGTGGACACCTATGGGCTTGCAGGAAAAGCCAACCTATGCTGGGTCTTTAATGTTGAATTGTGAACATCTGTAAAGCTTACACCCAACATCAAGGGAAATGAAGCAGTCGCTGGTGGTTTTGAGGATATTCTTGGCTGGCTGGGCAAAGACTGAGGAAAACAAACTCAAAGCAAATGTACACAAAAGCTCTATGCTTCTGGCCATCTCCTTTATACAAGAGGATTCAAAACCAATCTAATCCTGTTTCACCTCTGCATTCAAGTTACATGGAAGTGAGGCCTTGGTGATTTCTAACACAGAATCATAGAAGCACCAGATTGTGCAAAATGTAGTTCACAACATTCCTCACATTGACCTAACAGTCAGGAAGGGTCATCTCTGACTCTAGAGCTTATTGTCCTATCACAGGTATTCTCCTCTTAATGCAAACTTCATAGTCCAAACCCAGCCAAAAGCAGTGACAAGCAAAGGATGTAGATGAAAATAACTCACATTGGACTCTACAGTGCACTTTACAAACTTACAAATAGATAACAAATGTTTATTGATTAAAATAATACTGAATGTCAACTGCAATTGAAATATTACAGAAACATTTATTGACAAGAAAATGGAGTAAACCTCTTTGGGTCACTGAAAGGCACTTTTCTGTTAAGGTAGAATATATATATATATATATGGGTGAGGCACATTCATTCAATGCTTCCCATGGGAGGCCATAGGACAAAATGAAGAAATACCAAACTAACCTTTTTTATTTTCTTATTTTTCCACTGATTTTTTTGGAGAATGGAAGAGAGAGGGAAAGACATAACATCGATGTTAGAGAAACACATTGACTGGTTGTCTCCTGCATGAGCCCAGCCAGAGAGGAGTCTGCAACCAAGGTACGTGCCCTTGACTGGAATCAAATCAGGGACCGTTTGTTCTGCAGGCTGACACTCTAATCATTGAGCCAAACTGGCTAGGGCTCTCTTATATCTTTTAAATATATTTTTGTAGATTTCAAATAGGAAGGGAGAGGAAGAGAGACATAGAAACATCAATGATAAGAGAGAATGATTGATCGGCTGCATCCTGGGGATCGAGACGCCAAAGAGGGCATATGCCCTGAGGAGGAGTCCAACCGTGACCTCCTGGTATGTAGGTTGACATTCAACCACTGAGCTACACTGACTGGGATATATATATGCCAATTTTTAAAAACAGTGCCTGGAAGTTGGAGAGAACAAATTACATGATAGCTATTACAACCTCAAGTGAAGATCATTTCCTTCATCTATAATATGGTAGAGAAACTAGACACAATGACTCTATAATGCATAGAAACTATAATAGAACACAGTTCCTCAGAGGTTTCTAGAAGATTCTTGAGTAACCTTATAACCATGGTTTTGAACTATATACCCAGTAGTTTACTTTCCTCCATTTATTTATTTTGTGACATGTTTCTTTCTTTCTGCATTTTGGCTGCTTCCCTGTGTTGATAGTGGCCTTGTGTGGTAGGTGTCCTATAATGCCCAGTGGCTCAGCATCCCCAATCACCTGAGGTGGACACTCTTGGTGCACCCCTTTGTGGGATGGGTTCACAGTCTTGTTGTAGTTAAGCCTTGATTGCTATTGCTATCACTGGGAGCAATTGACCTCCTGGCCAATTGGCTGTTAGAACCAGCTGTGTCTGCAATGGAAGAACTGCTATGCAGCAGACACCCTATGGGGCAGGACTTGCTTCAGTGGGGCTTTGGTGCTCAGTCTGCCACTTGAGTGTGTCGCTTCTGGATGTGAATAGTTATAATCTGGTATGGTCTCACACTGACCACTGGGTACACTGGGACTTGGATCTCCACGGAGGTGCAAAGTCAGCCACTGCCTGAGGCCACCCAGCAGGAGCTACAGAGACATCTGCAGATTCCTCCTCTTTGGGGTTTGGAGGTGCCCAGATGAGGCCCAGCTGTGTAGCAATGCAGGCTGCTGCCGAGCCTTAGGCCTTCTTTTGTAAGCTTTGGTGCTCTCTGACCCAGCTGCCCTTTGATAGGTTTCAGGCTGAGAAAAGACAGGCAATTCATAGGCAAAAGCCATGGCGCACAGCTTGGATGGGGTTGTAACTTGGGTGGGGTGAGTACTCAGGGAATCACAAGGGCAGAGCAAACAGCAATAGCTACCAGTCAGCTCTACACCAGAGAGGTCCCCGCATCTCCACATCCCGCACCCCCCCCGCCACCACCACAGGAACAATGATCACTGTGAGCAACTCAGAGAAAGCAGCCCTTACGTTCTGACCCAATGCCAGACAGTCCAGTTTTTCCCTGTATGAGTCTGGGTAACCAGAGTGTATCCCGGAACTGGAGTTCAGAGCAATCAGGAGCTTGTATCTCCCTCCTGATTGAAAAAAAAAACAAAACAAAAACATAGTGCATGCGGTCGCCAGCCTGTTCCACGCACCTCCGCATCTCCTACCAGTCTCAATGCGCCTTTTTCTTTCCTTCTAGTTGTAGAACTTCCACTCAGACAGCTTCCTGCGGTTCTGGATGATAGTTATTTTATCTTTTAGTTGAGTTTTGGTGTGGTTGTGAGAGGCAGCAAGTACAGGTGTTTACCTATGCCACCATCTTCCAGGCTCCCCCATCATGTCTTCTTTTGTCTTCCAAGATGTGTGACACAACTGAAGGTTTCCCACATTGCTTACATTCATAAGGTTTTTCCGCAGTGTGTGTTCTAAGAGACTTGGAAAAACTGAAAACATTACCACATTCCTTACATTCATAGAGCTTTTCTCCACTTTGTGTCCTTAAATATCTAGGCATGTGAAGGAGGGCAACCAATTGATATGTTTTTGTCACATCAATATTGCTCTGTCTTTCTCTCTGACTTCCACTCTCTCAATGGAAAAATATCCTCAGGTGAATATTTAAAAAAAAAGAGAAAGAAACTAGGATGGTCAAAGGCTTTTCTACAGTCTTTAAACGATAGGGCTTATTTTCAGTGTGAGTTCTTTCATTCATTTTGATATCTCTCCACTATCAGTGTTTTTGTGATTTTGAAGGGAACTGGGATGAATAAAGGGTTTGGCCCATGGTTTACAGTCATAGGGTTTTTCCTTATTATGAGTTATTTCATGATGTTAGAGGGAACTTGGATAAGAGAAAGCTTTATCACAATGGTTACATTCATAGGGTTTTCCCTAAGCATGATGTTTTTCATGATTTCTAAGCAAATAGGAAAAAGGAAAGTTTTACCACATTCCTTACATTCATGAGGCTTTTTTCCATGATGAGATACTTTATGCTTACTAAGACATCTGGCAGAATAGAAGGCTTTCTCGCATTCCTTACATTTGTAGAGTTTCTCCCCAGTATGCATTCTTTGATGATTTCTAAGAGAACTGGAATATCTAAAAGCTCTCCCACATTGCTTACAGTCATAGCGTTTCTCCCCAGTATGTATTGTTTTATGATCTTTAAGAGATGCAGAATGGCTGTAAGCCTTACCACATTCCTGACATACATGGGGCTTTTTTCCAGTGTGTGTTCTTTCATGATATTGGAGGGAACGTAGAGAAAAGAGAGTTTTACCACAATGGATACATTCATAGGGTTTTCCCCAAGTATGAAATTTTTCTTGGTTTCCATGTTCCTTACATTTGTTGGGGTTCTCCCCATTATGCATTCTTTTATGATATCGAAGAGAACTGGAATATCTGAAAGCTCTCCCACATTGCTTACAGTCAAAGGGTTTCTCCCCAGTATGTATTGTTTCATGATCTCTAAGATATGCAGAAAGACTGAAAGCCTTACCACATTTCTGACATACATGGGGCTTCTTGCCAGTGTGTGTACTTTCATGCCTTTGACAGGACTGTGGATAACTGTAGGCTTTTCCACAATGCTTACATTCATAGGGTTTTTCCCCAGTATGAATTCTTTCATGACCTTGGAGAGAAGATGGATAATTGAAACCTTTACCACAATGCTTACATTCATAGGGTTTTACCCCAGTATGAGTTCTTTCATGACGACAGAGGGCACCACGATCACAGTAAGCTTTGCCACAATGCTGACATTTATAGGGTTTTTCCCCAATATGAATTCTTTCATGACGTAGGAGGGAAGTTCGATTAGATAAATCTTTATAACAATACTGACATTTATAGGATTTTCCCCCAGGATGAATGATTTTATGCTTTTGGAGAGTAGCTGAATGAGAGAATACTTTACCACATTGCTTACATTCATAGGGTTTTCCCCCAGTATGTGTTCTTTTATGATAATGCAGGGAAGTTCGATGAGAGAAATCTTTACCACATTGCTTACATTTATAAGGTTTCTCACCAGTATGAGTTCTCTCAGAATTTCTAAGAGAAGTGGAACTGAAAGCTTTTCCAGATTTCTTACACTGATTGGGCTTTTCTCCAGTGTGTGTGCTTTCATTTTCTCCAGAGTACTTGGGAGAACTGAAAGCTTTGCCACGTTGCTTACTTTGATATGGTTTCTCTCCGGTATGAGTATTTTTGTGAAGTTTAAAGTAAATGAGATGATTAAAGCCTTTCCCACATTGCTTACACTCAAACGGTTTCCCAGCAATATGCGTTCTTTCGTGATTTCTATGGGAAGTTGAATAGTGGAAAGATTTCTCACTGGGGCTGCCTTTATGTCTTTGAATATGTTGGTGAGGCTTGAAAGCTTTCTCAGGTTCCTTACATTTATAAGGGTTTTCTTCATATTCCTGACACAGGTGTAGTTTGGGTCCAATGTGAGAGCTCAGGTGGTTATTCAAGGATAAATAATGCATGAATATTTGCCTACACAACCTGGATTTAGGTTGTTTAATTTCAGTAGGAGTTTCCGTCTTCTCATTATGATTTGGAATCTGGCTAAAGTTTTCTCTGAATTGACAACCATATTTCCATTTACACAGTCTCTCTACCATATGACTGCTGTAAAAGTCAGAAGCATATTATTAATACTTTGTTAATGATTTCATATTTATTAATAGTATGACAATGACATTTTTACTGTTTTCAAAGAAAGTTCAGGGTTTCTGTACATTCTTATTATTTGAAAGTGGATATCCTAAAACCTCTGAAATAGGCTGGATCATAGATATTATGATAACAGTTACAGTCATTAACCCTTTGCGGTCCAATTTTATTTTTGGAATTCAAACAGTCTGGTCCAAATTAATTGATGGGATTGAATGTTAAACCTGTTTGCGGTGTCGACCTCAGCCTCAACGTTGGACCTGTTCCTAGCACCTGGTCGGTCGAGTCAGCCTCCATGTTGGACCGAAAAGGGTTAATGGTACTTCTGTACGTTGTTTCCAAATGCAATTATTTTTTATACACTAAACATTAGGTCTTATTTCAGAAAAAAACATGTTGAGATTATTTGAAGAATCAATAAATTTAAAACTGGGCTGATACAATTGGGTTACCTGTTTTTAAGATTCTGTTTGCACCAGGCCCATGTGGCTCAGTGGTTCAGTATGGACCCACACACCAGGGGGTTGCCAGTTCAATTCCCCAAAAGGAAACAGCCAGACTGCAGATTTATTCACCCCACTACAGGACATGCAGGTGGCAGCCAATCGATGTTTCTACCTTTCCCTCTCACCTCCACACTCTAAAATCAATAAAAACGTATTTTACACCACTGGCATGGCTCAGTGCTTGAGCACTGACCTCTGAACAAGGAGGTCACAGTTCAATTTGCATTCAGGGCACATGCCCAGGTCTGGGCTTGATTCCGAGTGTGGGGCATGGGCAGGAATCAATAATTCTGTCTTACCACTGTTTGTCTCTCTATCTCCCTCTCCCTAGCTCTCTGAAATTATTGTTTTAAAATATTAAATATATAAATAAATAAAATATATAAAAACATTAAAAAAAAACAAAAAACACAAAGATGCTCTTAATGCTTTCTCAAGACAAAGTGACTCACCTAAGATTCATCCCATGACTTTCATATTGATCTCCACTGTCACGGTCTTCACATTTTACTTCTAAAATACATGCTAGAAAAAGAATTATGAACTATTAAAGAATATTAAAAATGGTTAGATTTTAGGTACACAAAGAGCTGTGATTATTCCCAGTTAATTACCAATGTATTCCTTTTCCAAATTTCAGTTCTTGAAATGGCATAACAGCATTGATGAGCAACCAACTCTAGTTATCTAATTGACTAAATAAGTAACAAGTTGTTGCAGGGCAGAGTCGTTCTGTGGTTGACCATCAACATATGAACCGGGAGGTCACAGGTCAATTCCCAGTAGGACTGGTTTGCAGATTGTCAGTGTGAGGCACACAGAAGGCAGCCAATCAGTGATTCTCTCTCATCATTGATTTTTCTCTATTTCTCTCCTCCTCCTCCCTCTCTAAAATCAATAAAAATATATTTAAAAAAAAGAATGTGTGCCCTAGCTGGTTTGGCTCCGTGGATAGAGCGTTGGCCTCTGAACTGAAAGGTCCCAGGTTCGATTCCAGTCAAGGGCACATGCCCGGGTTGTGGGCTCGATCCCCAGTGGGGGACTTGATGTAAAAACATGTGTAAAAAAACACAAAGGTGCTCTTAATGCTTTCTCAGGTCAATGCAACTCACCTAAGATTCCTCCCATGATTTTCATACTGATCCTCACTGACATGGCCTTCACATTTTTCTTCTAAAATACATGCTAGAAAAAGCATTATAAATTATTAAATAATATAAAAAATGGTTAGGTTTTAGATACACAATGAGCTGTGATCATTCCTAATTTAATTACCAATGTATTCCCTTTTGATATTTCAGTTCTTGAAACAGCATTGATGAGCAAGCAACACTAGTTTTCTAATTCACTAAATAAGTAACAAGTTGCTGCAGGCCAGAGTCGCTATGTGGTTGACGGTCAACCTATGAACTGGGAGGTCATAGGTCAATTCCCAGTAGGACTAGTTTGCAGGCTAGATCCCCAGTGTGAGGTGCACAGGAGGTAGCAAATCAGTGATTCTCTCTTATCATTGATTTTTCTATCTCCCTCTCCTTCCTCTCTAAAATCAATGAAAATATATTTTTTTTAAAAAAAGAATTTGCTATAACTACCTACTGATGCCAGGTTCCAGAAGGTTTTCAGCATCACAACCGTGTAGAGTTTCTTCTGGGTCGGATCCAGGAAAGCCCACTCCTCCACGGTGAACTCCACATTAACATCCTCAAAGGCCACTGAGTCCTAAAACATCCCACATATGCATATAGAAGAATGGGTATGACAGCACTGGGGATCTATACATAATTCATAAGAAGTTCACATGGGACATGTGGTACCCAACATTCAGTCTATGACTTGGTTGTAAGACTATTAGTAATTTGCTGCATTCACTTCCTCAAGAACACATGAAATTTATTGATATGATTTTACTGTGATCACTTCAAGTCTTCATTGCTCTCTAATGTCAGGGTAAAAAGCACCTTGAACAAGTTCTATATAATTAACTCAAATACATCTATACTGAAAGCATCGATTCCTTATGTGAAAACTCATCTTCATTATAACCACCATTTGGTGCAACAGTCTAGGAAACAGTGTCATGTCTGCATAAAGTTTTCACGATTTTGAATATAATAAAGGCCTGGTAGCTTTCTCTTCTATTCTCATCACCAAACAGGAGAGGCCAAGCGGTGTGTGGAAATTCAACTTGGAACAAAATGTGCCTGGGCATATTGTACTGAAGTACTCCAGATTATTAGAAGTAGATACACGTAAATGAATGAAAATATTCTTGTGGAGGAGTATGAATGATCATTTTTTTATATTAATAACTCTGACCTTTTTCCTCTTTCATTTCATGGAGATAAGAAGTTAGAGTTAGAGGTCAGGCATGAGCAAGACAGGACAACTTAGCCCTCTACAAAAGTCCTCTACACATGATTTTTAGGACATATAGACACATATATTGAAACCATAGATCACACGCAAAAAAGTCTTTCCGGTGGAATTTAACAATGTAACCAGGGCCTGGACCTGAGGAACAATTTAAAACTTGGCATGTATAAGGCCTTTATTAAAATCCGCTACATTTTTATGTTGAAACGGCACATGATGACAAAATACATTAGGAGGCGGGGGGTAATGAAAATATCAGGCAGAAAACTCTGAAATATTTGTCTAAACACTATGTTCTACACCTGAAACATACAAAATGAAATTAAATGTAAATTATAAGTGGAAGCATATATGTTGTTTGTGGATAGGAAAAATTAATATCACCAAATGTCCATACTACGTAAAGCAATCTATAGAGTCAATGTAATTCCTATCAAGATACCAATGGTGTATTTCACATAACTAGAACAAATACTCAAAAACTTTATATGGAACCACAAAATACCCTGAATAGCAACAGCAATCTTGAGAAAGAAGTACAAATGTGGATGAATCATACTACTTACTATCCAACTTTACTACAAGGCCATAGTAATCAAAACAGCATGGTCCTGGCATAAAAACAGCATATAAATCAGTGGAACGGAACAGAGAGCCCAGAAATAAATGCATGCCTTTACAGTGAAGGAATACTTATAACAAAGTAGGCAAGAACATACAATAAAGATAGTATATTCAATAAATGTTGCTGGGAAAATGCAAAAAAATGAAATTAGAACAGCTTCTTACACCTACACCAGAATACAGAAAAATGCATGAAGGACTTAAATGTAAGACTCAAAACCATAAAAATCCTAGATAAAAACAATGGCAGTAATACCTTGGATATTTCTCCTAGCAATATCACTTTTCATATATCTCCTTGGGAAAGAGAAACAAAAGAAAAAATAAACAAATGAAACTACATCAAACTAAAAGGAAACCATCAACAAAATAAAAAGGCAAACAACTAAAAGGGAGAACATATTCATCAATGAAATAATTGAAAAGAAATATCTGAAAAGGGGTTAATACCCAAAAAGAATTTAAAAGTGCTCTGAACTAAACCAATATGATGTACCACAAAAAAAAAAAAAAAAAAAAAAAAAAAAGTTGGTGGGTTCGGTTTCAGGTCAGGTCCCAGGCCCAATTTAGTGTTTGACTCCCAATTGGGATATGAAAGGGAGTCAACCAATAAATGTTCCCCTCCTCCACTCCCACTTCCTATCTCTCTAAAATCAATAAAAACATACGCGCCGGTGAGGATTTAAAAGTATGAAATAAAAAAGGAAAGCACCCAACATATCTATATCTATATCTATATTATCTATATCTATATCTATATCTATATCTAGAGAGAGCCAGGGTCCGTAACATCCAAAATGACTGAATGGATGACCAAACGCCAGGCAGCATGTGCAGCAGGCTCGGGTGGGCAGGGACTGGCGAGCAGGCTGAACTGGTGATTATAATAGAATCAGGGGCATAGAAAGGGAATGGACTGACTATTCTTGGGGAGGAAAGGGGTGTGGGGATGCGGGAAGAGACTGGACAAAAATCGTGCACCTATGGATGAGGACAGTGGGTGGGGAGTG